GCTTTAATTGAGTCTATTCAAAGAACTAGCCAATATTTTTCCAGCGGTAAGCACAATGTTCCTAATTCCCCCTAGTCCCCTTCTTAGACGCTTTCATGTGCATCAGGTGTTAAATTTTCTTTTCATAAGCTACAATGCTCATAATCGTGCATTCTGATGTCATTTATGCTTAAAAAATTAAAAATTAGTTTATCGACGAAAGAGTGAATTAAAGGTATCATGAGGCGTTTGTGATTTCATGAACTATTTGACGCGGTCCTTTTCTTACGGCTTATGTCTGTTGGTGAAATCGCTACTTGGGTTTTCTTGGATTGAAAAGGGCGGGTTCTTTCTAAACGTGGCGTTGTTTATGGGACCTTAGTATTCAGAACAGAATCAGTCGATGGCAAACAACGAAAAGGCTTTTATGTGGTAAGTTACAGTGATGAACCTTGCCTCGAGATGGTCATATGTTTGTACATACCTTCATGCAATTCTGTGTTGATCTGAAAATTTTTTGTTATGGATGGGGGAAGGGTCGGGGGGGGGGGGATCAGAACATGTACCTCGTGTTGTTTACGAGACATTAAAGTAATGAAAATTGTTAAACAGTCTTCTACAAATCAAAATAGTTGTAAATGCTTATGGGAGGCCCTAACTATGTGATGATAAGAAGGGCTATATTTGGAAAGGTGCATGGTCGTGGAGTTAAGGAGATTTGACTAATCAACCAATTTCCCGCTAAACATAAGGGCGTGGCCAGTGGCTCCAAAATTGTGTTCGCTCGCCCCGGGCTGGTTCGACTTTTGGGATACGGTTATGGGGTTATAAACAATGAGTTCATCATCTATATAGCCTACTCGCCCCAAGTGACTGCATTTCGCTTTTCAGAGACCCATCAGTTACTGTATGACCCTCTCCGATCAGATTTTATGTCCGTGGTACTGGTGGTGAGGTCAGTCTACAAGCAGAGTCGTGAAAAACACCGCCACTTGAGCCTTTACGTTCAAAACATTCCTGGCTATCGGGAAAAAAGAAGGAGCTTTTAAAAATACTAAATAAAATGTCATTTCAAATATCACTTTGTCACCGTTCGAAAATTATTGTGAATCAGACCGAATGAACTGTTCACTCAAAGAGGGGAGGGGAGGGGAGGGGGTTGGTAGTTCTTAACAGTTCCAGTTAGCTAGAAAATTAAAAGTTACGAAAAAAATAGTGGGCGAACTGCAGAATACGTGCAAGAATGAGAAAGAAAATAGAAAACAACTTCCTGTTCAAATTCGGGTGAAACGTTTAATAGCGTCAAGAAGACTGAACTTGATTGAGGTTGTTCATTTCAGTTCCGTTCCAGCGTGCAGTTCCTTGTCCTCCTAAGAATAGCCGTCTCCACCGATCATTCCATGTCATATTTTGCGGACTTATTATTCAGTAATGACGGTACGATCAGGTAATTTGACTTGATGAGTTCTTTAATTTCATTTCATGTACTAGTTTTATATCTTACGCTGGAAAGATCTGCCAAACAGTGTACATTAGCAAAGGTAGGTTCCAGTTTACACGTGTAATTATCGAATACCATACAGTTTGCATAAAGCTACAGTGCACGGTTGGTTTTTCTAGCCTTTTGATTAAAATTGACAACGTTTGCGTTATCTTTGCCTAAGAAAATGGTAATTTGTAGCTGTATACAGCGAAATACTACAGAGAAAATTGTAACTGTGCAGTACACGAGCGGCTCCCGATTGGTCTGGGAAATCGAAGAGCGAACTTGAGCTAGTACCGTGTGTATCAAAATATATAATTTTCATTTTAGCGCATATTTCAAGCTCTTCGCAAGATCAGAATCAAAAGATCATCTGTTTACATTACAAGGAGGGTTTTTAAGCGATAGATAGGGTTTAAGAGGCACGATCAATTTTAAAGAATTTTCTTTTCAAATATTCACCGAATTTTGTTTTGAAGTTTTAGCGGCGAAGTGGCTGAACCACTGCGCATTCATGCAATCATATTTCTCTTCCGTTGCATTTGCCCAATTATTTTATTCAACAATCTAACTTAGCTATAAACAAACTATGTTTAGTTAAAATGGCTTAGTCTAAATCGATGTGGCATGGGTGATATTGGCCTTCCAATTTCTACCAAATTTGTGTACCGTTTAAGTACCGAAAAAGTGCTGTGAGAAGTTATAGCCGTTCGTAGCTCAGGCTTAACCATTTTCAGATAAGAGTAGGTAAATGAAAGGAGGAAGGATAGTTCTTTGCAACTGTATGAGTCACGATTAAGTTATTTATAATGATAAGGCTAGAATTAATTACTGTAAATCTCCTTCAGTTCACCAACATGGCCGCCACTCGAGGCCTCGTCAAAACTGTCATTCCTGTATCTTTGAAACCAATGAGAATTCGAACCTTAGAATATGCATTCAGTATTCAGGACACCATTCTAAGACTACATGCCAAAAATCAGCCAAATCGATGAGGTACCGTGTCAGGCCGAAGTTCGAATTTTACAGAAAATCACTCTTAAAAAGCAATACTAATATCAAGAAGAAAAAAGCACTTGAACCTGACAATAAAGAGTAAAAATAAACAAGCGTTACTTACTATATATCACAAATTCTCTCTTTGAAATAACGAATAACAAAGTCTTGTATAACAAAGAACCTAAAAGATGCAAAAGGAAAACATTTGGATACCAACGTTCTTTCAAGGGGAGACAATAAGAAAGCGAACAAAACAAATAACCGTAAAAAAAGAAATGAAGAAAAGATCAGAAATCGTTCCTAAGGGAAACATTTTAAACAGGAGAAATGTTTGTCCCGAAAAGAACAGTTCTAAACAGGAGAAAAGTTTGTTCCTAAAAGAACAGTGTTAAAAACGGTCGAAAACAAGACAAAACCACAGAACAAAGTGACAGAATTCACCCTAGACAAGCGAAGTTTGAATGACGAGCTGTAAAAACCACCCGTATTTTATACATGCGACTTGGATCGAACTTTGACCTCAGAATCAGATTCAGCACAAAAAATTAGCGTAAAAATTGGAAGTGTGTTTTTTTTTGCACGAAACTCTTGCCTCCCACCCAAGCACATAACTGAAATCAATAACAAACCCTTGATAATATTAGTTTCTAATTTTTTCTAAGTGGGCGGAAAGAAAAATGACCTCAAGAGCGACAATGGTCAAAATTATTAAACAAAAACCAGTAAAAAAATGTTGACGGATCTAAAATTACAAGGTTTTGTATGGAAGAGAAATATTGGTAAAGCTCCATGGGGATACGTCCGATTAGCATGAATCTTTGCAGATGTGCTGACCTGGATAAGGGCAACACTACTATAGGTCGCTTTTTAATATCAGACCATCCCCTGGGTTTTTGTTTTTAATTTTTTGCATAAATTGGCATAAAAACCAGAAGTGTTTTTTTAAGAGAAAATCTCACTTCCCACCCAAGCGCATAACTGAAAGCAATAAAAAACCATTGATAATATTAGTTTCTAATTTTTTTTTCAGCGACCGTGAAGAAAAATTAACCCAGGGGCAACAAGGGTGTAAAATATTAAGCAAAAACCAATAACAAAAATGGAGACAGATTGAAAATTACAAGGTTTTGTATGGAAGAGAAATATTGGTAAAGCTCCATGGGGAAACGTCCAATTATCATGAAACTTCACAGACATACTGTTTTCTATACGGGCAACACTACCAAAGCTCGTTTTTTGATATAGATACATTTCCCTGGGTTTTGATTTTTGCATAAATTTGCACCCTACAGGTGTTGAATTGCCCTGACTTCCGGTTAGCTCCAGAGTTAGTTTTTAGTGATGTCTGGGGTTATTTTAGTATCTCTTAGAGATCATATTGGTCATATGTTGCGGCCATTTTGGATATTTTCTATATCCACATGTATTGATATTAACTCAAGCAAAATTTTGGATAATTTAGATAAATCGGTAGTAATCAGGGTCCAAAAATGAAAGTGACAATGCCAAAAAAAGACTATGTTTGCCCATACTATGAAAAAATGATAAAAAAATTTGAAACGTAATTTCTAGACACAACTAAGATGTTTTCAAGAAGTGGACAACTTGTTCTTACTCTCTAGTAGGTGTGAGAGTAGTTCACAAAATTTACGGAAAGTTATAGGCTTATTTCTTTACCCTAATTTTGTAGGTGATTTCCCGACAATTGCAGGTACTCGAAATTTTTTTCCTCAGAAAATATTTAGCAATTAATCAATTCGGCTTTTGTAGGATATGAAGAATTAAGCAGCTCGAGGGGGGTGTTATTCAATGGATAACACCCTTCTCGACCTGCTTAATTCTTCATATCCTACAAAAGCCGAATTCATTAATTGCTTTATTATTCTTTCAAAATAATTCCTAGTTTAAAAACATAGCTAAAACATGCTTGCCTGCATCAATGTTAAGTTTACCTTCGATAGGGTACATTTAAGTTTGTCCAGCTCTGCAAATATTCTCAAAATAGGAGATGTCGCCCTCGGAGTTGTCTGCTTGCTGTTTTTGCTATGTTTTTAGCCATTATTTCACCTAGTTCCAGCAGTATGACGCTGTAATTCGCTTCGCTCAAACGGACGTAAATTATTTACCGCTTAAATAACTGCAAAAACCAGGCAAAGTCAGATATGGGTGGATCGCGTGCGAACCTTAACACTTTAATGAAAAGGAATCTTACAGCGTTGGTAAAGGAAAAACAGATAACATATTTAAATATGAGCTAAATACCTAAATATTTTGTCACACTTAAACGATTACATTCTGTCTCTAAAACGCTCATGTCTTTTGCTTTGTCTGTTTTCCAGCACCCATGAAGTTTTAACAACCTCTCAGAAACGGCTTTGGAAGTGTCATTACTGATAACACCTGTAGCACCCCCTGAATGCAGACTATGTAGGCCATATTCCTTGGGGTCAAAGCCCAAATCTTTCAAAGTAGTCTTAAATATTTCCCTGCAGCCAGTATAGGATATCTTGCCATTCCTAAGAGTATAACCCGACTTGTTCTACGTTAATGGCCTGAATAAAGGCAAGTGACTAGACAGATCCAAATTGGCTGCTTCAATATACCTACGTAAGATAGCTACTGGGCAGTAATTGTTCTCTAACTTAGCGATACAAACATAATTGCCCTCTCTATATACATCCGTTTTACTCCCTGGCACAAAAATTTTAACAAAACCATAGCAAAATGTGAGGTGTTTTGGCTGAATGTTAGCCAACTCGTTAAAACGAAAAAATCCTGCAAAACCTAAAGAACTTATTGCGGCAATACGTAAGTCCTTTAAAGATGCTTCCTCAGTGCCATGTCTGTCAATAATGCTTCTAATGATAGCAGGGTGCACAGGCTTTTTCTTGTGAATTGGTTTGCTCCTTGTCCTCTTGGCGCAGTCAATGAAGTTCTTGCAACAAGTGTTATCCAAAGGATTGGGACCATCATCAGGAACAAAGGAATGGAACCATTTCAGTGCAGCATGGACAAAAACCATTGCGGCTGGAGACCTAAGCTGTTGATCTAAGCCAAATAGATAAAGGGCGACAACAGGAGAAGAAAATGGCAACAGTAGCGCAATTTTCCGAGTCCTACACCACAGTAAAAACTTGTTTATTTCCTTAAGATATTTCTTCACAGCAGAATTCGCCCTAGAACAAAGTAAACATTTAAATAAAGAATTGAAATCCGGCCTAATAGCGGGAGGGAGCATCATCCATGCTTTACTTGCAACTATGACCAGCAAGAAAAAATTATATCACCAAAATTTTGCAACAACAGGATAGCGGCTCTTGGAAATGTGATGCAAGCAATGTGCTCTGCTGCCGTCTGGCTATCAGTGATCCACTTGACAAGTGAACCTTTTAAAATTGGCGCAAAAGACTCAAGAGAAAAATCAATGGCTGCAAGTTCTCTCCAAGTAGAGCTCTGGGAACATTCTGAAGGCTCCCAAAGCTTGTGACACACACAATCCTCATTAAGGGTAATAACTGAACCGCACCCTGTAGCGCTGGAATCGGAGTAAGCGAAATGCTGTGGCTTACTAAAGAGGAAACATTCTCGCACTTTGATGGAATTTAGGTTTTAAAATATAGCTCCTCAATGCAATAGGGATCCATCTTAACTTTCGTGTCCCAGTGCTGAGCACTTAATGTAGACATAATGCAGTGCCTAGTCATGATCCTAGAAATGTTCCCGTAAACAGGTGCTGTAGAAATCATTTGCTCTGTAAAAGAGGCCAATCTTCTGGCAGAAAGAAAAAAATATCCCAAGTGATACCCAACGAATCAAGCCTCTGGCAAGGTATCCACACTGACTTATCCTCGTTAGTAACGATACCCGCCTTAAAAAGGTCAGCTCTAACGGCATCCGCTACTATACTGCACACTTGAGAATCCTTTTCAATACCCCATCCTTTGTCAAGAAAAACAGCAATGTAAATGCCTTGATGCCTCCAATGTTTCTCAAGAGGGTTAAGAATTTTTGTGAACATATGAGGGGCGGACGATAATCCAAAAGGTAAAACTGTAAAACACATAAAACTTCACTTGATTGGAATTGGAATGCTTCCAGGAAAAACCAAGATATGTTTGTTGGCCCTCAAAAATTTCAACGTGGTGGTTCCCACTTTTCAGGTCAAAGGAAAACGTATATGCACCCCGCGAGAAATAAGACATAGCTGTTTTCCAGTCTTCATATTTAAGGTATCATCCAGAGTAAAAAATAATCATTTTTCTAAATTTACAATTTTTAGACGATTAAATAGAGCTCATCAAGAGCTTTCTTTTAAAAAAAATCCAGGAAAAAATGTTTTTTGTGTGCAGACTTATGGAGTGCAAAAGCTACTTATTTTAGTTGATCGTTGACAAGTCCTGTCATACTTGATACGCGTGCCGCTGTTGACCCAAGCTAATCACACAATTTCTCAGAAATCGTGGTTGACAAGTATAGTGCTCACTGTTTTTTCCTGGAGTTTGAAAGTGAATGCTTCCGAAGAAGAAAAAAGAGCGTGTCCGTTTCCATCCTCGACTCCAAGACAAAAGAAGACGACAAAATCGTTTTGCCGCCAAAGAGTGGGTTTTGAAATTAGCAGA